TGCTGGGAAACAACAATCTCGACGGATTGAGATAATGCTCTAGAAAATGGCAGTTTTGCATCTTATTTTATACATTATAATTTAAAGAGAAGACGCTAGTGGGTTACATGATATCCATTGGTGATAGATTAGGGAGGTGGGAGAAAGCAAATCGGGGAAACCTCTGGGATTAGATGAAAAGTAAAATGATAGACACATAGATCTTTTACATAGGTAGGTACAGGATAGTTAACAGTGAATATTTAACATGTTAACAATAACAATGAGGATTTATGGTGTCAGCCCTGGTACATTATTTCTGCCCTGAGGGATCTGGAAAAAGGGGAGTTATCCTGATACTCCAAAGGAATATTATCTTAGGTGCAAAAGACAATAGGCAAGCTTAGTTAAGGTAAAGATTGACTTTTGTCAGGGAAGATTTTAACCTAGCACATGACTTCCTGCCCTAACAGCTTTTAGTTAAAAAGTTTTAACTTCAAACCTAACTTACTTTAGGTTTCTGAGTTTGCAAGGCCGCCAAGTAGGCCTTCCTTGATCTTGGCAGGTTAGTATGTGGCCCCTTTTCGTCCACACGGTCAGATGGCCAGCCTTGGTGGACTAGAAGAGTCATGTCTAGCCCTGGGGGGAGAAGGCCAGGGGGACTCTATTGTCCCTTAGTGGGACAGGTTTGTGTAGGGTCTCAGAAGTAAGAGTCAGTCTCTCTGTGCTTGTATCCCCCAGTCCTGTGCACAGCACCTGACAAGTACACGGTGTTTGACGCAGAAGGATATGTGAAGCCTCATTCCTGCATTGACATGTAAGTTGGGAGGGTGGAGAAGCTAGAGGTTGCTGCTACCTTTCTCTGAGTAACTGAGCCATGGTCTGAGGCTGGGTGGGAAGTGTCCAGCCCGAGGGCAGTATAAGGGCTGCAAAATCATTTAGTCTGTCCCTGCCAAGGCAACTACAGGCGGGACTCAAAATTCAATAAATCTAGGAGCTTTTTTCATAGCAACATAAATTTATATTAAGTGGATTATATTAAGCTAATGATGTTATAAATATCCAAATGGCCCGCGGCAGAAGAACGGTTCCCAATCCCTGGTCTGAGGTCTCAGACCTCGTCCTCTTCAACTTTTTCCCCAACCCTCTGCCAGTAACCCAATGGGAAAGTTTCCTGGGAGGGTGGGGCCTGGATCCACTTGCATCATTGCCTGTTACTCACTCCCTCTCAATGAGCCTCTCTTCCGTCTTGGGACCAGTGTGATTCGCCACGTGGCCCCCACTGCCAGCCATTATGATGTCCAGGACCGCTTCCGCATTGAGCTGTTTGAGGAGGGAGCTGAGGGCCGAGTGTTGGGGCGCAAGGACATCACCTCGGTTTTGAGGGCCCCAGCCTACCCCCTTGAACTTCAGGGACAGCCTGACTCAACGCCACACCCAGGGCCTCCTTCCTGGACAGCACCACCCACGACCAGACACCTCCCTGAAAGTGAGTTGGAGCACGGGAATTTTTGAGTTCTGTAGGGAGGGAAGACCTAGCATTACTCTAGAGATGAGCTTGGTTGGAGTTGCAGAGGTCTTCAGGTTTAGTTTATTAGCTTTTTGTGAAAATGTTTCTAGGAGTTGAGATTTTATATTACACTATAGGCCTGGTGCACGAATTCATGCACCAGTGGGGTCTCTCAGCCTGGTCCCTGCAGGATCGGGCCGAAACTGGCTCTCTGACATTGGCCGAGCAGTACTGGATTGCGAGAGGGCACAGGCCAGGCTGAGGGACCCCACCGGTGCACAATCGGGGCCAGGAATCAGGGCCAGGGAGGGACGTGGGAAGTTGGCCAGCTGGGGAGTGACCGCAGGTGGGCTCCAGGGCATGTCCAGCCCATCTTGCTCAATCCCAGTCCCAATGGACCGGAACCCAGCAGCAAGCTAACCTCAGAGCGTCTGCCCCCTGGTGGTCAATGTATATCATAGTGAGCAGTTGAGCAGCCTTAGCATATCATTAGCATATTACACTTTGATTGGTTGAAGGGCTGACCAGACACTTAGCATATTAGGCTTTTATTATATAGGATTAAGGAATAAACATATTTTGCAGTTTATCTGGTTTCTGGCTTCCATACTTAGATGGGAAAATTCTTCCTTAACTTTAATACTTTCTGTTATATGCCAGCTCAGTTCGGTTCCATAAGAAACCTGTACTGAGCAATTATGCCACACCAAGTTATATGCTGGGTCTGGGAAAAGGAGTTCCCTGCCTAACAGACAGGTACACAGAAACCAGTAATCAGGCAGAGTGAAGAGAGAAGAAGAAAATTGTGGAGGGACCAGAGGAGAGAGGGTTCCTTGTGGCTGTGGGGACAGAGGCTGTAGGGAGGAGAGGACACTTGCATTGTGTGCTTCTGAAGGGCAATAAAAGTAGGTGCACCTTCCGTCTTCAGCCTCCTCCCAGGAGGACCTTGGGGTGGGGAGGAGTTGGGTCTGGAGCTTCTGACAAGCCTTGTTTCCCAGAATCCCACCCACAACTGGCCACCAGCTCCTTCCTCCTGTTCTTGCTGACCGGCATAGTCTCAGTGGCCTTCCTGCTGCTCCCACTCCAGGATGAACTTGGTAGCCAGCTGCCCCGAATCCTGCATGTCTCCTTGGGACAAAAGTTGGTGGCAGCCTACATCTTGGGTGAGCACAGTAGTGGTGAGGGGACGTGAGCCCCAGAGAAAGACGGGTAAGGGCTGGGAAGAGGGCTCCCAGAGCTCCAGGGCTACTCATTATTTCTTGCTCTTTATTTCTCCCCTCTCCAGGCCTCCTTACCATGGTCTTTATCCGGACCTGAGCCCCCTGCTCAACCTCCACCCCCCTCCCTGGGCAAGGATGTGGACATGAGATGGCCAATGTGATGCTCATACCTGGCCTCGACTCCTACCCCCCTCCCCAGCCCCCATTGCCACTCTCTCCACCCCTGACAAAAAATACCCAGGGATTTGTATTCATTTTCCAAGTTGAATTTTAAAAATTTGCAAAATTAAACTGAGAAATGTAGGGAACATGCCCCTTTCTCCATACTTCTTTTTCTCCAGTTCCTCCTGCTCCCGTTCCTAGGAACCCAGGTACCTGGGCCAGTGAAGATGCCCAGTGAGGATTAAGTCCTGGGTTCTGGTTCTGGAGCACTGAAAAAACTATGACCATGAGCAAGTCCTTTCATTTCTGTGAGCTTCAGTTTCTCTCTCCTAAATGAGAACATTGAGAAAGTTGGTTCTTCCCCGCTACCCCACCCCACCCCACCCCTGTCCCTTTCTCTATATCTAAGGGTCTGTTTTGTTTATTCATTTGTTTTGATTTTTATATTCCACATATGAAATACAGTGTTTGTCTTTGACTTATTCACTTAGCACAATGCCTTCTGTGTCTATCCATGTCACAAATGGAAGGTTTCATTCTGTTATGGTGGAGTAATACCCCATTTTGTACATAGTATATGTCACATCTATTATCCATTCATCTATTGATGGATACCTAGGTTATTTCCATATCTTGGCTATGGTAAAGAATGCCACAATGAACATAGGGATACATATATCCTTTCAAATTGTTGTGTTTGTTTTCTCCAGATAAATACCCAGAAGTGGTATTGCTGGGCTGTATGGGAGCTCTATTTTTAAGGAATCTTCATACTTTTTGCATAGTGGCTGCACCAAGTTATGATCTCTGGGAAAGTTGATTTTTTAAAAAATATGATTTTAGAGAGGAAGGGAGAAGGGGGAGAGAGAGATCAATGAGAGAAACATCAGTCAGCTGCCTCCTGTATGCCCTCTATTGGGCATCAAGCCTGCAACTCTGGCATGTGCCCTGACCAGGAATCAGACCCACAGCCTCTTGGTGCATGGGACAATACTCAACTGTGCCAGGCCAGCTCAGCCAAGGGTTCGGTGAGCCTCGGGGGGTGGGCGGCAAAGGATGTAGAAAAGACAGACAAAGAGAATAAGCTGGGTCTAGATCTTCCTGTGCCTGGCTGAGGCCACGGGGAGAGACCCAGACAGCAAGCTGAGCCTTTATTTTATAGCCAGAGGTAAACAAGGTAGTGGTCACAATAGTTATAATGTTCTTGTGAGTTTCACTTGTTTTGGCAGCACTTGCTGCACCTCCCACAGCCTATTAGCTACCCAGATAAGATCTAGGGAGTGTCATTAGGTCAAACCTAATTATGCTAAGAGGGCTGTGCCCTCTAAGCTGGGACTTGTTTGTGGCTTTGCCAGCAGGTCAGTCCAAGGCTCAACCCTATAGCTGCTCCCTACACTCAACCAACTGAGCCATACCAGCCCTGGTGAAAGTTGAGTCTTAAGATCCCCCCCCCTGCCCTTTTTAAATATATTTTATTGATTTTTCACAGAGAGGAAGGGAGAGGGATAGAGAGCTAGAAATATCGATGAGAGAGAAACATCTATCAGCTGCTTCCTGCACGCCCCCTACTGGGGATGTGCCCACAACGAAGGTACATGCCCTTGACTGGAATCGAACCTGGGACCCTTCAGTCCTCAGGCTGATGCTCTATCCACTGAGCCAGCCCTTTAAAATAGGATCCTGTCCCTATGCCAACATACCTAAGCTAAAAAGAAATAATAAAAAATACCACCTTTTTTAGAGCTCTAGTCTCACTGTCTTGAGCCATTGGGGCCTCTTGCCAGGGCTGCCTGGATACTTCCAATCCCCAAAATCATCTGCCTTTTTGTCCCTTTATCTTCTTTTATTTTGTCTCTTCCTTTGATTTCAACTTCTGTGGGTCAGAAACACTAAGGTTACTGAAGATGGGAGAAATAGCATTGCCTGATATAACCTTGAGTGAGCCACTCAAGAGACATGAAGGCATGGTGAAAAATGGGATCCTTGAAAGCAGGCTTTAAGCCCTCCTTAAGATGCATGGTGAGGGGGTGACAGGGAAAGGGGCATCCAGCATCACTGGCAGATTGTTGATTAGGGACAAAAATCAGCAAGATAATGTTGAGACTCAGTCTGTTATGCTGCTGGAAGATTATCCGTTGTACTAGCTTTACTTTTGGGGCCCTGGAAGCTGCCCGACTGCCCAAGAAGTCTTGTTCCTCCCATACCCAGAACTGGCTCCAGTAGGGTGTGGCCCCACTAGTGTGTAGAGAATGGCTCTATAGCCTATGTCAGGAAGTATGGGAGGGCTCTTGCCATGGCCCAGCAAATCCCTCAACAAATTACCTGTGATAACCATTCATATGGGCTGCCTATCCCAGGTCCCCAAAATGCATTTTCAGTATCACACACTAATGATCCTGCTGGTATGTGGTGTGAAAAGGCCTTGTTGCCAGTGGGATCAGGAGGACTTTCTGGGACACAGCTATGAAGCAGCAGCTGTAGGAATGAGAGGAATTTGGGAAATAGACTTTTTTATTTAAGCAAATTTTTTTTTTAGAAAACAGTACTTGCAGAAGTTGTGTGTGCATTAGTTTTCTGTAGCTGCTCTAAGAATTTGTCACTAATTTAGTGGCTTAAAACAATGCAAATTGCCCTGGCTGGTGTGGCTTAGTAGGTTGAGCGTCATCCCGTGCACCAGAAAGTCACAGGTTCATTTTCCAGTCAGGGCACATGCCTGGGTTTTGGCAGTTGATCAGTGTTTCCCTCTCCTTTCCTCTCTCTCTAAAATAAATAAATAAATAATAAATAACCACATTGAAAAAACAATACAAATTAATTCTACAGTTCTGGGAATCTGAAATCCAAAATGCGTTTTCTGGTGATAAAATCAAGATGTCAGCAGGGCTGCCTTCCTTCTGGAGGCACCAGAGGAAGATGTTTACTTGCCTTTTCTAGCTTTTAGAGGCTATCTGCATTCCTTGGCCTGTGACCCCTTTCTCCATCTTTCAAGCCAGTTATGGAAATAACAAATAATCATTGTTTTAAACCACTTAAAAAAAAAAAGCCAGGAGTGTAGTATTTTCAACTCTCTCTCTCTGACTCTGATCCCTGTCTATTACATCTCTATCTGTGATCTTCCTGCCTCCTTTTATAAGGACCCTGGTGATTACATTGTTCCCTGCCCCAGTCCAGGATAGCCTCCCTGTGTGTTAGTTTGCTAGGGATGCCATAGTCTGGGCGGCTTAAACAACAAATTTATTCTTCACAGTTGAGGCTGGAAGCCCAAGATCAAGGGGCTGGCAGGTTTAGTTTCCTCCGAAGCCTCTTTCCTTGACTTTCAGACAACCGCCCTTCTTCCTCCTCCTCCTCCTCCTCCTCCTCTTCTTCCTCTTCCTCCTCCTCTTTTTGACATCCGCCTTCTTGCTGTGTCCTCTGACAGTCTTTCCTCTGTGTGTGTACATCTCTGGTGTCTTTCTATGTGTCCAGTTTCCAATTCTTATAAGGATACCAGTCAGATTGGAGTAGGGCCTACCTTAATGGCCTCATTTTAACGTAATCACGTCTTTAAAGGCCTTATTTCCAAATATAAACACATTCTGAGGAACTGGGTGTTAGAGTTTCAACATATAGGTTTGGGGGGCACATAATTCAGCCCATAACACTCCCCATCTCAAGATCCTCAATTTAATTACATCTGCAAAATCCTTTTTGTTGTGTAAGGTAACATTCATTTAGTTTTGGTGGGTTAGGACATGGACCTCTTTACCCAGACCATTATTCTGTCTACTACCGGGGGCAAATGGACACGATGAAGAATGGTTGAGAAGCCACTAGAAAGATCTTTTTCTGGACTGTGTGTCAGGGAAGCAAATGGTCAAGGAAGGTTCTGATCCCGGTTCAGTCTCCTGGGATCCCACCAAGTTAGTTCAAGGGGGAGACGGGGTGGTGGCAGTTTCATCCTGGAGCCCAAGCCATAGACTAAGAGGCTTTCAGGTCCTGCATCCTGAGGAGCCGGGTAGGACCTCTCACGCCATACTGGGAGTAAGAGAGGACTAAGGATCCTGAGAGGTGGCCCCTGGGATTCTGCAGCTGCCCTGAGGGTGAGGACCAGGGCCACAGCCTGCTGAAACCAAGATGAAAGGTAAAGTGGTGCCAGCAAGCCTTGTAATTCCCTACCCTCCTACAGCTTCCAGTTCACAGGACAAAGATTGACCAAAGGGGACCTTGACAGGAGAGAAGTCCCAGGTTGGGCCAACCTAATGGGTGTTTGATGCTGTAGTCTACCATGACCCCATGCTCTGAGGGGGTCCTGTGTTTGGGGTTAATGCTCTGTGGTTGTCTTGAAATTCTTAATGATTCTACCTTTGCATTTATGTTTTGGAAGTGCTGGAGTCCTGCCTCCCCTAAATGGGTTCTTGACTGCTAGCTTCCTGCCCCTACCTGGCGATAGCTGCCACCCTCCTTCCCCAGCAGGAACCTGGGTGCAGGCACAGGGAGGGTCTAGGTCAGGGTCAGGTTTGGGTACATTTGTACCAAGTTGTGGGGTAGAAACCAGAGTGCCTATGGGCATCTGCCCCAGAGTATTTCCCTGTCTAAGGGTTCTGGATAGTAAACAGCAAGTAACCACCATGACAGATTGACAGTAGAAGAAAATGGCTTTGTTCTTGCTTTTTGAACAAGAGGTCCTGCATTTTTGTTTTGCACCAGACCTTACAAAATATATAGCTGTCCCTGGTCCCCAGAGAAGGTACAGAGCCAGCCCTCCACTCCATGGTGGTCTTTGGAGAAGACCACCTTATTTCCGTAGGCAGTTTCCTTCTTTACATAATGAGACATCTGAGTTTTCCCCATGGAGACAGCATTCCCAGTTGCATCCTCTCTGTCCCCTTCTTCTCAACCCTTTCCTAGGTCTTAGATAAAGGATGATTGGGTGGGGTGAGAGTGAGGAAGCATAAAGGTGCTTACAAACAACAGATGCCCAGGTGGTTTATTGAAGTTGATACCTCAGCCCCTTCTACCACAGGCCACATGTTAGCCATAGGCATGGTCCCAGCCATCGCTCCTACCAAGAAAGCTGGCCATGTCCCCCAGAAACCTTCCAGAGTGGTCTCTTGGTATGGGAACCTGGCTCTTGAAGGGGAAGGGGCTGTGATTGATGGAACAGATGCTGT